GGCAGCTCGGCCTTTACCCGCTCTTCGCCGCGGTCGACGACGCGCTGAAGGACTTTGTGCTGGAGCTGGACGCGCAGGGCATCTTTAACAGCGTTGTCGTGGTGTCCCAGTCGGATTTCGGGCGCACGCTGACGTCGAACGGCGCCGGCACGGACCATGGGTGGGGAGGGAATCATTTTGTTGTCGGCGGTGCCGTCCGTGGCGGACAGGTTCTGAACGATTTCCTGGACTCTTTCCTGGAGACTCCCGACTCCGATTACCACGTGGGGCGCGGACGTACCATCCCCAAGTACCCGTGGGAGAGCATGATGGTACCCATCGCGGAATGGATGGGGCTCTCGAGTGGGCACGACAAGGCGTTCCCCAACCTATCCACCTCGCTTCGCGATGGCATGCCCGGATAGCCCCACACGGGCCGGCCAAACATGTTTGTTACAACCAGTGGGGCGGAGGTATGGTGGCTCGTTCCAAGCGCGGGCCACCAGGAGCGCTGTGGAAGCTGTCGCAAGCGAAGCCGCCGCCGCGGGTGTAAGCTGGTGGAAGGGCGGAAGCAGGCGGCGGAAGCTGTCCGGCACCTCCAGAGACGTAAGCACCCTGCAGATCCGCAGCCAGCAGGCGCCCTTCAGCACCTTGGTAGGGTTGCCCCACAATCAGCAGCATCCACTTCACCCTTCAGGTCTTTCTGGGAAGCCTGCAAGCGCTGATTGCACCATGTCTCGAAGTCTACTCCAGGGCAAGGCGGGCCGCCTCACAAACCAGCCTGCAGGGGGAGAGGCGAGCAGGGGGCTGGACAGGACCTCGCGCGCCTGTCCCCACCCCTGCCAGCCAAGGGTTCGCGGACACAGGTTCAACCGCTCCCAGCACATCATCCCCACCGAGACGCTCTTCGACACCGGTGCCACGCCAGCACCGACCGCACCCACCCCGCTGCCCACCCTGTCCCCCACCCCGACCCCCACGGGAGCGGCTCCCGCTCCGTCTCCCACGCCCGCCTCGCCCTCGTCGGCCCCGAGTCCGGCGCCCACTCCGCCGCCATCCGTGGCAACTTCGACCCCGACAGCAGCTCCTTCGGTGGCTCCGACGCCAGCCCCAACGGCGGTTCCGACAGAGACAACCGTGTGGCCAGCCGGATGCGACATTACGTACCAGGGGGAGTCGTTGAATAACAACTGTGAAAAGTGCACAACGATGACGGACGGCCGGGGTGCAGGCCAGACGCACCACGGAGACAAGTGCGTGTATCTGCTGGACTGGGCGAGATGTTATCCCGAGACATATTGGGCGGTCCTCGCTGGCTCGTACACTGTGATCCATGCGCCCGCAGGCTGCCCAGGCGGCGCTCCAACTGCAGCTCCTGCAGTGTCACCAACGACGCTTCCGACGGCAGCTCCGACGGCAGCTCCTACAGCTCCTACTGCAGCTCCTGTGGTGGCACCAACGCCAACGTCCGTTCCGACCTCAGCTCCGCCTCCGACGCAGGTGCCGACGGTGTCAACGCCTGCAACGCCGGCCCCAACGGCGGCTCCGACAGGGACAACTGTGTGGCCGACTGGTTGCGACATGACATACCAGGGTGAGCAGTTGAACAACAATTGCGCGAAGTGCACCATCATGACGGACGGCCGGGGCGTGGAGCATTCGGGACATGGAGACAAGTGCGTGTATCTGACGAATTTGGACGGGAGCGAAGTCGGTCCCCGAAATTGTTACCCTGAGTCGAACATTGCCGTCGCCGCCTTAGTGACGTGGAGAGAAGTTTTTGGCCAGGATCGATTCAGGAATCGCCTAATTTGAAGGCAGTGTTGCATGTTCTCGTTTTTTTTTTTTTTTGATTTTGTTTGTTTTTCGTTGATCGCCCCAGGCGCCTTAGCAGCAGCTGCGTCGCACGAAATAACGTCGCAGATATTCGAGATCTCCAAGTTTGAACGTAGTGTGGCATGTTAGAGTTTTTTTTGGTCGATCGCCACAGATGTCATTCTTGAAGATCGTGTCGTCTGAAACATGTCGTGCTTTGATTGCTGTGATGGAGACGTGATGGTGCGTCTTGGTATGACTCTTCCACGATCGTTCATTTTTTTGATAATCCCCAAATCATTGGAAGTGCCGCAAAGGTCAACACTGGCATGTTCAAGGTAATCAGAGACCCCACTGGATGCCCAGGCACGACTCCCTTGTCTACCCCATCTCCATCTTTGGCTCCTCTGGCGCCACCAACGCCGACCGCGATTCCGACACCAGAACCAACAACAGCTCCGACGCCGCCGCCGATAAGTGTGTGGCCAACGGGTTGCGACATGACCGACATGGCCACCGGCCAAGAGTTGAACAACGACTGCTTCTTGTGTGCAACGATGACGGACGGGCGGGGTGTTGGTCAGGTTCACAATGGAGACAGGTGCGTGTATCTCACGAACTTAGATGGGAGTGAAATTACGCCCCGAAATTGCTTCCCCGAGACATACTGGATGGTGTCTAGCAATATGTTCCACGTGATCCGTGAGGCCACGTCTTGCCCAGGCGCCACCGCCTCGCCGACAACATATCCGACGCCAGCTCCAACTGCTGCTCCATCGGGTGCACCAACAGCGTTCCCGACAGCAACTCCGACAGCATCCCCAACGCCAATTCCAACCGCTACTCCTACGGCTGCGCCAACAGCGTTCCCGACGGCAGCTCCGACACAATCTCCAACGGGTGCGCCAGCAGCTGTGCCCACAGCCTCTCCTACCCCTGCGCCACCGCTGAATGTGTGGCCGACTGGTTGCGACATGACATACCAGGGGGAGCAGTTGAACAACGACTGCGCGATGTGCACCATCATGACGGACGGCCGGGGCGTGGAGCATTCGGGTCATGGAGACAAGTGCGTGTATCTGACGAATTTGGACGGGAGCGAAGTCGGTCCCCGAAACTGTTACCCCGAGTCGAACATTGCCGTCGCCGCCTTAGTGGCGTGGAGAGAGGTCATGGCCAGGAGAGGTTCAGGAGTCGCCTAATTTGAAGGCAGTGTTGCATGTTCTCGTTTTCTGTGTGTTTTTCCAGGAGGAACTCGGGAATTGCCAAATTTGAAGGCAGTGTTGCGTATTCTTGACTGTTTTGTTTTTGCCGATCGCCCCAGGCGTCTTAAAAGCAGTTACGTAGTGCGAACTCGTGTCATGCTCTGATCGGGATGCGATGACTCGTTTTGGATTGGTTCTAGCACGACCGTTGCACTCGTGGATTAGATCTTGCGTGTTTTATGCGCAGTAGGGGCCCAATTTGTTGTGGAAGAACCGCACAGGTCAACTCCGGCGTGTTCAAAGTGATCAGGGACCCAACCGGGTGCCCAGGCGTGACTCCTTTGTCGACCCCAGCTCCATCTTTGGCTCCCCTGGCGCCACCAACGCCGACGGCAGTTCCGACATCAGCTCCAACTCTACCTCCTCTGGCGCCACCAGCGCCGACGGCGGTTCCAACGGGAGTGCCGACAGCCTCACCCACACCAGCTCCGACGCCGGTGCCAACGGTGTGTTCAATCGGGGCGTCTTGGGGCATAATGGGGTCTTCTTAGTGCGGCAATATTGGCACACTCTTATGCTGTCCTGTGCACTCGGAGCCTCTCTGGGGACCTTCAGGGGGTGCGTGGGATGGGATTGAGCTTTGGCCGTCCATTAGTGCGATCGGGGTACTTCCCAGTTTAGCCAGATTCAGGACATACTAGTTTCCACAGTGAGTCTTCGCACTGGGGGTTCGTACTTGGGCTGGAATCCATTTTGACTGCCTTGCGTATCCCCACCAGCGCATCAAGACACGATCCCCAGGCGAGTTGTCGGCATAAAGGGGGAGTGGGGACGCACGTAGTGATTAAGAAGGTCAACGACAGTGAGCTTTGAGGATTCTGGGGGCCTCCTTCGAAGAGCAACCGCATCAACAACTTTTCGGAGGTGCGCGCGGATTTCTGGGATCGGCGCTGGGCCTCTGGCGCGGGTCCGCGAGATCCGCTTCGGTTCTCCCAGCGCTTATCTTTTGCAGATTGTTCTCTCTCTGCTCTTGGAAGCCTCTCTGGAGCCATCCCGGGGCTCTCTGTAGGCTCCTCCAGGAGCCTTGGAGGCTCTCGGCTAGCCTTTGGGCTCTCTTGAGGCCCTTGAAGACGCCTGGTGATCGGTTTTTTATTCGTTGTTTTGCCGATCGGCGCGGGCTCCAACAACCCCCCTTCCCCCCCCCATGGAGTAGATCTTGGCTGTTTTTTGGCGCCTGTTGCGAGCGGGTGGGGTCTCCCCCAGAGGCAGCACTTTTGCAAACAGTCGCACTGAGCAGGGGTCTGGAGCCAGACCCCTCCCCTCCCCCCCCTTTCCGTCCGCCTAATGTCGAAACGCCGAATAAAAAAACGCTCACCTTTTTTCGGCTCTCTTGGGGCTACCTGGGACGCTTCTGCCCATGAGCCTCCCCCACACCCCTTTGGAGTCCGGCATGCGGTCTCCGCCAGCCCTCTTGGGATGCTTCTTGGAGGAGGAGGAGGAAGAGGAGGAGGAGGAGGAGGAGCAGGAGGTGGAGGAGGAGGAGGAGGAGGAGGAGGAAGGAGGAGGAGAAGGAAGGTGCCTTTTGGGTTCCTTTTGGGTGGGCGTTCCTGGGCTTTTCTCGGGGCTTCCCTGGGCCACCCTGGGCCTAATAAGCAAACAAATCGTTTCGTTTTTTTTTCGTTTTTTTGACTTTTATTTTTTTTTTTTTTTGCCTTTGTTTGTTTTTTTTTTTTTTTTTTTGTTTTTTTTTTTTTTGTTTTGCTTTTTTTTTTTTTATTGTTTTTTTTTAATTCATTTTTTTTTTTTTTTGTTCTTTTTTGGTTGTTTTTTATTTTTTTGTTTACTTTTTTTTTTTTTTTTTTTTCTATTGTTTTTTTTTTTGGTTTTATTTTTGTTTTGTAATTTTTTTTTTTTTTTTTTTTTGTTTCTTTTTTTTTATTTTGTTTTTGTTTTTTTTTTTTTTTTTTTTTTATTTTTTTTTTGTTTTTATTTGTGTTGTCTCCTTATTTTTTTTTTTTTTTTTTTTTTTAGTTTTTTTTTTGTTTTTTTTTTACTCGGCCCGCGTCAGCCATGTCGTGAAATCGCCGTACCCTCCTACGTACGACCTCCTTTTTTCTTTTTCCCAAGCCTTTTCGGGAGCGAGTCGGCGAGAAGGCAAGTACCATTTCACGCGATAACGCTCTTTGGGCGATTTTGGATTTGGGAGGCTCTGTGGTCACTCGGAGCGGTCTTAGGGCGATACTGGGGGTCAACTTCACAGTCGGGCGCCGTCTTGGAAGCTACCTTGCGATATCTGGGCCATCTGGGGCCAGAGCGGACGCTCGGACACCTCGCTCGGGGAAGAAACAAGGACATAAGCATATAAGCTCGGAGGTCCGCGCGGATCTCTCGGATCTGCGCTGAACCCCCTTCCCTGGCGCGCGGAGCGTGCCAGGGGCGGCGCCGGAGACGCCGCCAGGGAGCCCCAGCGCCGATCCGAGGAATCCGCCCAGACCTGCGAATTGTTATGTTTATGTTATTGCTTGTTCCCCTGCTCGCGGATTCCCCGTCCAGAGCCCTGGGCAAAGGCTTCCCTTTTCTAGAACGATTCAACCCTTCCAGCCGCCCCGCTTTCCAGAATTGGTGTGCCCTGTTCCTCAGACGGTCCAAGCTGGCCTCCCAGGTGGCCCAAGATAGCGTCCAAGACGGCCAAGCTGGCTCGAGGTGGCGTCCTCGACGGCCAAGATGGCCTACAACACAGCCAAGATGGCCCCAGCCTGCAAATCGCCCCAAGATCCCCCAAACGGTTCAATACGGCCTCAAGGCGGCCCCCAAGCGCTCCAAAAGAGCACCAAGACGGCCCTAACGCGTACCCAAGGCGGCCCCAAGACGGCCCCAAGACGGCCAAAGATGGCCCCAAGACGGCCCAAGGGAGCTCCAACTCGTTTTGAAAGGGCTGCAATAGGCCCCTTACCACATGGAAACTGGGACCTGGACAGCAGCTGCATCGGAAATGCGCTGGGACATGACCCAAGCGGCCCCACAGGCTCCCAGAGGGCTCGCCCAAATGAGCTTCAAGATGGTACCAAGATTTCTCCAAGAGGGCCCAGAGACCGCCGAGAGGGCCTGGCAGGGCTCTAAGACGCGGGCCGCACACCTCAAAGTCGGGTCGTGGCCAACGGCGACAGCGCAAATGCGCCAGGGCATGACCCCTAAGACGGCCCCAAGACGAGGAGGAGGAGGAAGGAGGAGGAGGATGAAGAGGAAGAGGAGGAGGGAGGAGGAGGAAGAGGAGGAAGAAGAGGAAGAGGATGAAGAGGAGGAGGAGGAGGAAGAGGAAGAGGAGGAGGAGGAGGAGGAGGAGGAGGAGGAGGAGGAGGAGGAGAAGGAGGAGTACCTGGATGTGGAGGAGGAGGGGCCCCAAGACGGCCTCACTGGCTCCAATACGGACCACTGCGGCCCAAGGATGGCCCGACGTCGGCCCCAAAGGGCCCCTCGCGGGTGATTGGAATCTGCCGCCGCGCCACGTCTGCACGCTCGCACTGCGCAGCACCCTTTTGGCGTACGTAGTTGGGCTGGAGGAGGGGGAGTGTTGTGACGTGGAGGAGCGCGAGGGATAGAGCCGCTCTTCGAGGAGCACGAGGGCGTGGAAGAGCTGATCCTTGTAAGTCCATCAGGCACGTATCGCTCATTGTGTTGACAGGTCATTGGAGTCATAACTGTGTATGCATATTTTGCCTTGGGAACCTGACTGGAGTCAAGGACGGTGGCACGCAGTGATCATCATCTCGAGCAATAGCGCACACGTCACAGGTGACCTCGTCGTCGGCATCCATCCTGCTGCTCTCGACTGTCGGGCGGGCAACCTTTCGACAGCCGAGGAGACGCGCGGGAGCGAGGGCTTCCGTATACTTTATTTTTTATGAATTAATACAGTAGTCATGTCATGCATGAGCGTCCAGAGCGCAGGACCCGCCGGCCCTCTGATTCCGAGTGTTGTTTCTGGCCACGAAAGGAGGCCAGAATGCCCGCCGCTGCGAGAAGAGTTCTGCCGGTGCGCCATCCGTTCACACCCGCCGCTGCGAGAAGAGATCAGCCGGTGCGCCAGCCGCTCAGTCCTTGCTCTCACCGCCATTGACATGTGCATGTGTATTATGACCTGTATTGTATTCTCAACCAGCCTCTGGGGGCCGGCCCCGTAACTTTAGTTTATTGTATTTACAGCCGATGCTCAATAGTGCATTTCGCTCAAAGTCGGTGGTCGGGCGGGGAATCCGCTCGATAGTCGACGACGCTCGTGTCAGAATCAGTGCGGACGTTCTGGTTGAAGGCGCGCCCGTTCGAAAGCGGATGGGCCGGCACTCCCGGAGTTCTGACTTCTCGTTCCCGGTGACAAATCGCCAGGGGCAGAATTTAGGGCGCTTATTCGGGCACGAAATTGTCACGAAACCTTGCGCGAGCCGCGGGACGGATGAGGGTCCGTACCCGTTTTGGCTCGAGACGCGCCTCAGTGCACTCTGAGGCCACACCTGGAAAAACGAACTCTGCAGGTCATCATTGTCATCGTTGGGAGTCCGCCGCGCGACTCTGGCTGTGATCGGAGATGGCGTCCTCCAGTGCGGGACCGGGTGATTCGATCGTCCCTCTCCGCCAGACCTCCCCGAATCCAGCAACGCGGGTTATGAGCCCAAGAATGCACCCCAACGAAGGCATCCTCAGCGGTTTGCAAGCAACCTGCCAGATCTGCACCCATATGACCTTCGAACCCGCCGTGTGCGCCAGGTGCGGGACGTATGGGCACCCTGTGTGCTTGGGGCTCGAACGCTTCTGCGACTTTCCCTTCTGCTCGCGGTGCATCCCGGAGGTCACCGCCGAGTACGCTTCCTTCCAGGATTTTCAGCGCCGGGAGAGTTGGAGGCGCAGCATCACGGATCAGATCTCCACGTGGAAGTCCAGGGCCGTGGAGGCCGTCGGGATGAGTTCGACGCTCGGCGTAGTCGTCGGCGGAAACTTGGCGACGGCGGCAGGTGCTGCGGCAGGTCTCGCCCAGGGAGTGGTTCGAGGTGCAGTCGAGGTGGTTTCGACGCCGCGTGCTGCGCTGCCGCCGCCAACGCCAACAGTGGCAGCCGCAGCTACAGCAGCTCAGCCTCCGCAGCCGCTGCGTGGTCGGGCAGGGCAACCTTCCGATAGCGCAGCGCGCTTGGGTGACCCGGCGCCCCAGCCAGCCCTGGCAGACGCACCGCCGCCACCAGAGCCACCAACACCATCCCCGAGGACGAGGCGATCGCGATCCCAGGATACGCTGGCAGTGCCGAGGCACGCGCATTGTGTGGCCTGCTGGACCGCCAATCGGGGACACCGAGCGCACTTGTACTCAGGGGACTGCCAGGTCATTCCTGTGATGTCTCTCTGGGGGTCCCGCCCTCGGCCTGCGACGCCCCTTGCGGCGCCGGCGGTGGCGGCGGGAACGCCTGCGCTGGCCGATGCGTCTGTGGCGGCCGCGCCGGGCTCGCAGGGT